AATGCTTAGAAACATCAGCAAAACCCTGCGCCATTCTTCTGAGGAAAAAATTACATTTTTAAACTTCTAGTGAAGTCCATAAGACGATAGCAGGTTCCAAGGAGACCTCAAAAGGTGTATTTCAGATAAAGGCATTCTAAATTTCTATCCCAGCTATGCTGTCATGATGCAGACATAAAAAAAGGTAAAACTTTCTAGAACTAGAAGAAGCAACTGAATTACTTGACATGAAAGTTTAATAATTTTTCAGGCACAGATCCTGGATGAAAATATTTAGTTTGAATGTTTAGACATAGATATAAAATCTTCAAAACAAGAATTCAGGAATATGAAAAATGTATCCAATTATTGAAGGTTGAAAAAATATTTTAGGAGTAGAAAGTTTCAAATTACAAAACAATTTCAGGTGCATTTACAATATCTGCAGTCAGAAGTAGGAGGTTTGTGTTTCTCAATGATATGACAAAAATTACCATAGAAAGCATGTGCAGCAAAGTCAACTATAAAATGACCTTTTGAATTCCAAGTGCAATTTAAATTGTAACCCATCTTCCTATGTAACTATAAAGGCACAGCTATTTTTAATAAATGTCTGGAAGCAGCTGAATCTTCTTAGATAGTTCAGGCTCTGTACTTAATGTATAAGATACATTTTTATAAAGAATTCTAGATGAGATTCTGTTGCCCTAACTATTCTCTCTATTCTGTACAAAGAATAGAGAAATTTACTTGGGCTGACTATTGCACTAGTTTTTGGAAAATCTGATCATAAGTTTAGTAGATACCCACCCCACTTGATTAAAAAAGGCACACTTATATTTCCAGTGATGACTGAATCAATTTTCAATTTAACATTGCAGAGTTTCTCAAATGGCTGGCACATTCATTGCTTCATGCATCCCAGGAAACTTACACTACTTGACATTATATGGTTAATTAAAAAAAATGTTATAGCATCCTTTGAAGCAATAGAGAATAAAAAAATCTGGTCTGGCATCTGCAATACATCTTGATAATTTCTGAAATATTCTGATTTTTTTTGTTCTCTACTACAGAATCATAGAATGATTTGCATACCACATTAATGATATTTGTAAATCCATTTGTATAACTTATTTTTGCATTTATTTTGCAATATATGGGATTATGCCATCATTTTTGATAAAACAGTGTTAGGATTCTGGAACAACCTTATACTGAGGTTGTCAGAAACTCAGTTTATTTAAAAACATAAGGTATCCAAGACATCAGATTTATGTTTCCTGTAAATTTGTACTACATTTTAAAATTATCTGTTTGCTTACTTTGTCTTATTCAAATACTGATTTATTTGAATTTCAGATTAGTGGACATACTAAAGCTAGTTACTCAGCTGGCAGATTGGCATATGAAAGTCTATTTTGCATATGAATAAATGTAATTACCAATTTTCATCCAAATCTAAATTTATAATCTCAATTCTAACCAGCTTTTATACATATGCATTACTTTTCAATTTTTGATATCATTATAATTTAATTTCTTCTCTTTCCTATCCAAAAATAGTCTATAGACATTCTAAGAGTTGGAAGCAACATAAGTATTTTGGAGTTGCAGTACATATGCACGAGTACAGGTTGGGGGCTGACCTGCTGGAAAGCAGCTCTGTGGAGAAGAACCGGAGAGTCTTGGTGGAAAACAGACTGACCATGAGCTCAGCAGTGTGCCTGTGTGACAATGGTGTTCTGCATTAGGAATGAGCATTGCCACCAGGTCAGCAGAGGTGATCCTGCCCCTCTGCTCAGCCCTAGTGAGGCACATCTGGAGTGCTGTGTCCAGTTCTGGGCTCCTTGGTACAAGAGAAACCTGGGGATCCTGGAGAGGGTCCAGAGAAGGGTGACAAAGATGTTTAAAGGACTGGAGCACCTCTCTTACAAGGACAGGCTGGGGGAGCTGGGCCTGTTCAGCCTAGGGGAGATGATTGAGTGGGGATCTCATCAATGTCTATAAGTATCTGAAGGGAAGGTGTCAAGAGATCGGAGCCAGGCTCCTCTTGGTGGTGCCAAGCAATAGGACAAGAGTCCCTAGGCAGAAACTGATATGCAGGAAGTTCCACCTGAAAGTGAGGAAGAACTGCACTGTGCAGTAACCATGGAAATCTCCACAGGAAAAGATTATCCAGAGAAGGTGTGGAGTCTCCCTCACTGGAGATATTTAAGAACCATCTGGATGCAATTCTGTTCCATCTACTCTGGGATTACCCTGCTTGAGAAAGGAGGCTTGACCAGATGATCCACTAGGGATACTTCCCATTTTACCCGTTCTGTAATTCCGTGGTATGACTTCATAACAACAGTCGCACAAAATAAAAACGATGCATTATAATCAGTTGGATACATAATGCTACCTTAGAGCTCACTATCTCTGGGACATTCAACAGCTCAAAGCAGACAGAGTGCTGTTGAACAAAATAGTGAGATTTTTTTTCTTGTGAGGGAGATATATCCAGGTGGCTTCTGCTTTTAGGTCTTCATACTGTTCAACTGATACAATATGCCCATGATGCAAGCCAATCAAACTTTTAGAAAGTCAGACAAGTTAATTGGCAGCTATGGGTCGCAGTGGTAATAGTATCAATACTTTGTCCTTGCCTTTCATAGCCCTAAGCCAAGAACAATTTGGCTGCACTGGCGAAAATGACCAATTTCAATTGTGATAAAAATGATTTTAAATAAAAATATTGCTTTATTAATAAATTATTTTAATAAATTTAAAAATAAATTTTCATTAATTTTTTTAAATAAAATATATGCACATTTATTTTATAGTTTAGTGATGTTTTTCAAGATGTTAACATAAGCCCTCCCAGCAACTGGCTATCTCAATTGTTTTTATCTGTTTGTTTTAAAGAAAAAGTAATTCTGCAATAACTTTACTGAGAATCCAGGGAAGGAGTAGTATATCTATTTTCATTTGATTTCAAGACCCTAAATAATACAATGGGACAATATGCATTCATTGTGGGCAGCAGGCTGACATATAGAATGCATTATTATACCTTGGAGAGATGGTTTCTGTGTGCTAATGATATTTCAATAAGATAGACTAAGTTTCATTTCAGAACCTGTACCTCTCTTGAGACCCATTTTAAATTATGAACTGCTTTGCCATCAATATGTGAAAAATATATGACAAGAGTCAAGCTTTTATGGCACCTTATCTTTGGACTTCTCCTACTCTGGCGCTATCCTTGTCACACATACCTGTATGTAACTTCCAAAAATATTTGATGTTCATTGCTTTCGGAGACCTCATATTTCTACTTGAAGCTATGGCATAATTACATATTTTCTGCCTCACAGTTTTAAGGTCATTTTGTTATACTTAATAAATATTTTACTATTTATGTATTCTTAGGAAAGCAACAGGCAAGCCCTAATCCACTCAAGTTACTGCTATGCAAGAAATTACCCTATTTCAAACCCAGTTGAGTCCTACATTAAGCTGATTCCTTATATCTGCTTGTATTAGCACCAGTCCTGTGAATGCTGATGTGGGGCACCAAGTTCAGCCTTTAGTCCAAACTCCAGGTTGCTCTGCTGCCCAAATGTAGCTCTCATTGTAGGATGGCTACAGGACAGGTAAATGCTGTCTGTTTCTTGTCTCTTCAATGGAGTCTGTCCCTCTGGCTATGGAACTCCTGCTTCCAGCTAATTTAAACCCTTTTGTAGGTGGGCCTTCTCATTCTCCATTCCAGATTATTTTAGTGTCACAAATTACCACTGCTGAGAACTTACAATTTGAATTTTCCCATCAATAAGTGAACAACCAGTCTAGATTAAATGAATCATAAATCAGTCAATCTGTTATCACAGGGTGTCATATTGCCAATTTTGTCTATGCCTAGAGACAAAACTGTCAATCCATTTAAAGAATAAACCTTGCCAAAACATTAAAGTGCTGTTTCCAGCATCTAAATACCAAGAAGATAGCTCTCTACCCCACCACACAATTTTATATGATGATAGGAGGTCAGCAAATTAGCAGCACCTATGCAGCGAATATGCCATATGCCCTTTACATCTATAAAGGGTTGAGGAGAGGTTTTCTAATGCCACAATTTAGGCATTGACCATAAAGGGAGAAATAACAAACTGCCTAATGCTAGGACAGCATTGCAAAAGAAGGAAGAAATCCAGAGAGTCCTAGAATTCCAGCTCTGAAACAGTTGTTGCTATGTTCCAATTCTTTTAGGATAATGTCCAGAATTCACTTCTGTGGTCAATTAATAGCATTATGAAATAAAAGAAGCAAATAAATTATGAGACTCTAGTACATCAGCAAAATAATTTGAATTTTTTTCCTTAAAAGTAGTGCAAGCTACCCTGAGGTTTATCCCTGAACAAGAGGTATCTTTAGACTTGTCTTTAATTTTATATCCCCTTGGCTTTTTACACTTATTCTCTATTTTTCTGCCTATTATCTATTCAAACTGATGCACACTATGTCATTTCTAACTCTGCTATACTCCTCCCTGTGATCATTGAGATCCCTTGTGCTACTGTTCCTGCCCTCTAGCCCTGCATCTCATTCCCTGACAGCTCATTGAAACTACAGGTCTTTACAATTAAGAGGGATTTTTTATAAAAGTAGTGGAGGAACTGCTACATTAAGCACAACATCAGCATCCTACTGTCAGTACCTAATAATACAATACCTAAATGGTACACACATAGAACCCAAATAATATTTTAATACATATTTCTAGTAAAAGAAAGCTGCTTCTGAAAAATTAGTAATTTTTATTCCGGTGTCAAGTATGTCTTTCTGAATTTTCAGGAACTTTCTCTTCCATTCTTCTGAGAACAAGTCTAAAATACAAAACAACCAACCAAAAATATAAAACACACAAAAAATATACTACAGGAACATTTTGTCAGCTTATTTTAGAGAACTGAATTCTAATAGTCAATGCAAAATATAAAGTCCCTGACTTGAGTTTTTCTTCTTCTCCTACCTAGGTGTGGTTGAGTACCTCAATAACCTGTCAAGAATTCCAATAGATTGTAAGTTATAATTTAAAAGTGCTGAATTCATCAAAACTTTTTTTGGAAATTATGTAAAATAGTCAATGAAATATATACATAATTCTGGGGACTGTGAAAAGACTCGATGAATTAGCTTTTTACACCAGATCTCAGGGAAGCTTTTTATGTATCAGAGGTAATTGCTGTATAACACATAGAACTTACTGCCAAGAGAGACCAGGTGTTGTAGCTGTTGGGGGAAAAAACAAATCCAAAACAGTGTCTGATGAAGGCTTACTGGATCATAAGCTAATGACATTAAATAAAGACCTAACTGACATTTTATACTACTCCAAATGTCTGAAGTCTCAGATGTTCTGTATAATCTTATCACTATTCACAGATTAGAAAATCCAAAAGATGATAGCACCCTTCAGTTCATGTCTGCAGTGCTACAGAAGCACACATGAAAAAATTTTCTCTCTTTCTCACTTAAAGAGGACTTGATTCTTGAAGGGTCGGTTGTGTGGCATGTAAAACAAGAATTATATAAAGTATGTTTTTAAAAGCCCATATTTATGCTTGTATACAAATGTCAGCACATTGCTACATGGAGCTAATTAACCCTGGTTTGCAGATTTGATGACTGATAAATTGGGGTATTTTAACAGTTCTCCTGATACCTTTAATAATCTGATTTTAATAGGAAAGAATCCATGGTACTTACTCTTCTCCTCTTATCTTCATATTTTATTCTAGTATCTGGTGTGAAAGACTGAAGGTAGACTTGTAAACTCTAGGAAGTAGTGATACTTTCCTTGCTGACTTCTGTTTTAAACTTCCAATATAATTGGACTTGAAATATTTCTTCTTTAGGTATTGATTTATTGAAACTTCTTCAATGTGTCTTAATTCCTCATTCCTTTATGCTTCAGTATTGTTTTGAAATATGAATATAATTAAAACTGTATTAGTTTTGTGGCTATCATATTTTTCACAAGAACTTGATCTTTAGATAGTTAAATGTTATTGGAAATTCACCACTGCTACCAAAAGGTCTGCAGTATCTTGAAAGATTACATCCTAAATGTACTCTAATATGACAAACTAATTTGTAATAACTGTCATTCTCATAAGGCTACATTTTCTGTCATGTAGAAAAGCCAAGGGTAGACAGAAGAATCATATGAACAGTTGTGCTTTCTTTTGGCTGAGTTTTAAGTATCCAGAATCGTTTCCTGCATGCTAGAAAGTGCAAAGGCTGTTTCTTGCTTACTTTCTCTATCTTTGGTGATGGAAATGCAATTCAGTAAGCCAGTTTAGGTAAATGCACATAAGGGATTCATTCACAAGGACATATCTCTCTTCTGAAGGAAGACTGTACGTAGTCACATGGTTTTTGTAGAAGGACACCCTGTGGCTAACACATCAACAAAAAGAGTGCAACTCAGGTAATAACAGGGCCTGTCAGAAAGCAAAATTCCATGAATAAATACAATCTCAGCAGTAACTCAGTAGGTGTAACATATAATCCCACACTTCAATTACTGAAGCAGAATAAAAAAAAACCTGCAAATGGCGGCATCTGCAGGGCACAGGAAAGGGGAGCTGAGCAGAACTCATACACAGAATGAAGATTGCTCAAGTCCACAAAGGATTGCAACCCAGAGTGTACCAGATATCAAACTAAAATAATGTTTTAGCCTGTGGAATCTTGACAATTCAAGCTTCCCTGAAGCTTAAAATCGCACACTTATGGTCTCAAATTCCATGCAACTATTTGCTATGTTGTCATATTTAAATATTTTCACACAGATAGTAATTTAGATACTGGAAATGTTTTATTTCAGGGTCTGGATGATCAATAATGAGATCTTATATAATCTAAAATGATGCACACATGTAGTGTGCATCATTAGCTTTCTACAGAAATGTAGAAACATGAAAAACAAACAAAAACCCCACCTTCACAGAAAGTCTGAGAACATGCAGAGCTCACTGTGAGCTTGGCTCCTGTCTCTGCCACTGCTATGACCGCTGTTATTGCCTTGCATCGTATGACACCTCTCTGTCTTCCATGAAATGCAATTTTTTGACCAAAAATCATGATCATGCTATGTGATTATCACACCATTTCCACTGTGTGCAACCTGCAAGTATTACAGAAGGTAGAACCAGGCTAGTGAGTGCATGTCAGCAGCTTCAGCTTCTCCTGGCACCTCCTGGCAGCCAGCCTCACCTCCATAGTGCTCCAACTCTGCCCACGTATTGAGAACACATCACAACTGATGACTAAGCTTGCACCAGGCTGAAGAAGTGAAATGAAGCCTGGGATGACAAAAAATTTTCATCCCAAGCTTCAAAGGAAGCTAACAAACAGGAAAGTCACATAGGGTCTGTTCTTAAAATAATTTACTGAAGAAATGAAAGAAGCACCTATCTCATACAGCAAGTTGTAATTCCATGATGAATGAGCTTTTCCAGGCCACAACAGGAGAAGGACTACTGGGAAATATGTGTGTAAGGGCAAGTGCAAGACTAGAAATTATGAAGCTGTTATAATTTTAATGATAGTAATAAGAAATTCCTGTGTTTATATATAAGGTGCTTCATTTCTTTAAAATAAAATAATTTTCATAAAAATAAAATAAAAAAAATCTTAGCAAAAGAAAACTGTGTTTTGATAATGGATCCTAGCCAAAATGTGCCTGGAAAATTGAAAACTGCTTGGAAAGGCCAAGGATGATGATGGTCCTCTACTCCTAAACTGTTATTACACAGCTTTTAGGTTTCTATCTGTCATATCTTTGAAAGACCAGTCAACACCTTATCCCTGAATACACATTATTTTGAGATAGCATCCTCCCAAAGGGATCTGAAAGACCATTTTTACAAAAAATATGAACAATTCCTTTATTCTCAAAATTCTTGTAGTCCTTTGATTATAGAGCAGAACATATCTGCCAGAGGCATATGCCAAGATATCTCAGAACAGATATCTGACAGACTAATAATCATCCTGGAAATCTGTGTTAGGCTTCAGCTCACAGAGGAATGTAGATTTTTAATATCTCCTCAAACAGCCAAACATGTGCTATATGGTTGTAAATTGAAGGATCTTTTCTGAGGCTAACATCTGGGGAGTACTTTAAGATTTTTCTCTCCAGAGAGGTCTCAGCTGAAATTTCTATCTTCTTGTTGACTTAAATAATTTGGTTCACATCCACCAAACAGGTGAGTACCTACTGAGTTATTGATAACTAACATATAACTTGAAAGATGTCACAGGTGCCAAAAGAAGTAGATTTAGGCCTTAATGAAGCAGAAAGACTAATTGTTTTGCATAATCTGGGATGAAGGGACAAGTTTAATGCTGCTGTCTTTCAATGTCTGTCAAATATCAGTCATTTGACTACAGTACAGCACTGAATAACAAAAATCACTTAGCACTAAGTCACTTTCTTTACATTTGCAGGCCTGGGGTGACAGGATTAAGTAAGTATGATATATTTTCTATGACTTTTTCTCATATAAATGATTACAATATTGTAACTTTATTCATGCTCTGGGGTTATTCTACTTGCTTGACAGGACTATAATCATATCCCTTTTTTTTCTTGTGTTGTGGCTGACAGCCCCAGCTCAGACAGCTGCTCAGTCAGACTGTATTGACTCTATTGGGCCACTATTGATCCCAGTTAAACGTTTTTTTCCACTCAAAGAATTTCTTGCTTAAGTATTTTTCCCTATTTTTGCAAAGAGCAGATAGGAGGAACTAGGATTCAAAACATCATATCAAGGATTTTTTTGTTATAATTTAAATGTTTTCCTTGTGATTTATATCTGGGTGATAAACATGTAACTTAAATAAATGAAATTCAATTTATATCTGAGCAATATGACTTATTATCTTTTCTTTGAAAATCCTTGATTTTCTACAAAATCAAACCACTCATGCTTGAGTAAAAAAAAAATTAATAAATTTCATTCTAATAAGTATCATCCTTTGAAAAAAAGCTACAAAAGGCTTTCTGATTGCACTTTTACCTTCCAATTCTGTCCCACATACCACTGGGGGGAACAAGCAAGTGTGTGCATGATGCTGAATTACCTGCTTAGCTTAAACCAGACCAGATTTTTGTTTGGTTTTTAATTTTTTGTAATTCTATTATTTCACTGGTTTATATTGCAATGAACTTCTATTCAGAACAAATATAATTTGCTGGGCAATAAGTTTTAAAAAGAGATCCATAGTTTTAATTCTGTTGTTTTTTGCAGAAAATCAAGTTTTACTTAAAGACACATTAACAGTTTCTTTTAAGTTATCCAGGGGTATAAATATGTAATGGAAAATGTCCTGGCACAGTTGTTGCAAAATGCTGCTGGGTAATCTGAGCCGATTTTGTTCTGTAAGAACCTAGTCATGTAGATTTTTGTTTCCACTGGCTCAATTTGAAAATGTGTTTGGATTGTTTCCTTACAGAAAATTAAAGAATCAAAGACCAAGAAATTCCTGAAAACAGACTTCAAAGTGACCTTTGAATTCTCCATCCCATAAACAATGTCAATATTTCAAATGTGCTTTAATCATTCTCATGTCTTTGGGAACATGAAGTACATATGTGGAGGCAGACAAATCACAACCTAGTGTAGCCAATAGCACAGAAACTCACAGAAGGCAATTTCTACCAATGGCTTAAGTCATGAGATTGATAAAGATTTCCCTTTGCTGTTGCATTACATTCTTGAGCAGAGAGCAGCCAGCAGTCCTACTTCTGCTTACTGTCATTCCTGACATATCATTTCCTCTTGTTTATGACAGAAAGGTGACCACACACCTCCATCCACACCACTGCTTCATTCAGATTTCCTTTATTTGTATTGTGCCTAGGGCAGTGGAGCACCATTCCCAGTCACATGTAAATAAAGTCATATTCTCTCATATTCTTCACTGTGTCAAGTATTCCTAGAAACTGAATAGAATTTTAAACTCATTATTTCCTGTTTGTGTTATAGCAGAAGCAAAAAGTATCCCTCATGAAATATGAAGTGTCGAGCATTCTGAAAATATCATGCGATGCTGGAATCGATCAAGTTTTTGGATGATTCAAAATAAGTGGAAGAAAAATACGTAAAGCAAATGAATAATGAGGTTATGCAGTGAGAAAATATTGTTATTGGTGACAAATTATGACTTGCTTGGTATCACAGCCATAATTAGAAAGAGTGTTCATGGACATTTTAAATTCTTGTGCCCTGTCTTTGCAGAAAGCAATTTGGAATGTTGTATTTTGATTATGATAATCAAACTTCCCACTGAGTTCATTAGTTACAAAGTCAGAGCATCAGAAAACAGAAAAACACACAGGCAGACATTTCAGAGTCTGCATTAAAACTACTTTGTGAAATAATCATGTATGGATCTCAGAAAGAAGCACCCTATATATTTGAAACTTTACCACCTTCTTTTAAAGAAAAACTGGAAAAAAGGGAGACATTTAATCAATATTTTTCTCATTTTCATTTGTTTTCTCAAGAGTTTAATAAATAAAATTGAAAAGGTAAGGCTGAATTGGATTTTACGTATCAGGTGTTCTGTCAATTTCATTTGTATATTCATTTTTCCTTAAAAAAACCCCATTAATTTAATACTTAGTTTAAATATTTAATGATCCCCTATGGAACTGAAAGAGATGGTTGTGCCTGTTGCAGAGGAGCCTCCATACAAATTGATAATTCACTATGCATTCAACAATTTGTTTACCTGCATCTGTTTGACATACCCACCATCTCCTAATTTTTTAAAAAATTAATTTGTTTCACTTTATTTTTCTCTGATTATGCATTTTCATTTCATGCAAATAAGGAAATTTATCATTATTAATTTCAATTAATGGGATTTATATTTAATTTAGAATAATGTAAACATTTAATTGATTTTTTTTTAAACTCTCTAGAGAGAATTTTAAAATTAGCTTTTAGTGGCACATTAGTGGATTCCTGATGCAAACTAGTTTGAAGACACTGTATAATTCTTCTGGAAATACTGCATGAACAATTAGTTATTATTCTTGAATTATTTACAAGATAAACTATTTATGGGCTTTCATTATTTTGAGCAGTCTAGTCTGGAAATTTCTGGTGTGTTTTTTGATAACAAACTAGAAAAATCAATGTTCTAATGGAACTGATCCATATAGAGTATTTTTTTTAAGAATCCTTGTCAGTTGGAAAGTTTTCAATGAACCCATATTTTATCAGGCCCTGAACATAGCTGACAAATTCCTTTCCAAGTTGCCAGCTTTACAAAGCAGTGTTCTGAGTGGAGTTCTGCCTTCATCAAACTTGAAAAACACAAGTTCACTGAAAGTGTTTTAACTTTATTAAATTATTCCAGGTGGTTAAACTGAGATTATCCTGTTTTATCCTTGAAATCTCCTGGTACCTCTGGAAACAGTTATGCTACATAGCTGTTTAATTTATCAGAAAATGTTGCAACACAACCATTGCCAACATTTGTAACTGTTGTAAAAAATATAATTTATTATTTTTATATTACAGTATAAGTGGGAAGAAATTTTCTAATATGCAGACAAGCAAAATCCTTGCTTATGTAAAGCTGATGCTTTGCAAGAATGGATTAACACAGTAGAGCAATGAAAGAATTAATTTTTTCATATAGAAACTGGAATAATGGGTGAAATATATAGCCTTGGAAATGTTTTTTTCACTGATGAATATAAAATTCACTCTCTAAATCAGATTTATTTATTTTATCTTTTTTTCCCCATCTATTGGAATTTAGCTGTATGAGGGACAAGACAAACAGCAAAACTCATAAGAAATAAAAGACAATATTATTTTTCTTGAAACATTTATTGGCTCCTGAATTTTGGTTTTCCTTAAATTTTAACATAAAATTCTATGTTTGCAAATAATTTTGAAGTCCCCATAAGGAATTCCCACAACATTATTTACAGCCCCAGTGCCATACAAGTGCTATTGGATGGAATCATGGATGGTTTCTTGCCAACAGACTGAACTCGACCAAATAATTTTAGAATATATCAAAATACCACTTTTAAGTAGAAATCCTCACTGTAGTCAATTTCTGATATAAAAATGATTATACTATTTTGATTTTGTCAGTAAGGCAAAATAAATTTTTCTAGGACTTTAAAGAACAGATCTAGATCCTGATGTAATTATAAAATGGAGATTAGAGTGAGTATAAAGGTTATCAGGGCTACTGGAAACCTTCAAATGGTGCAGTTCCAATTACTTCAACAAACTTGTGCTCATCTGCTACAGCTGATTGTTATTTGGATAGAACAAGTGGCAGTGAGTGCAAGTTGTATTGAGCAGTTTCATAGTAATAAATGAAAGATTTTTATACAGTGAGAACAATTAATCACTGGAATGATTAACTCCAGGGATTAATGGGATGGGGTGAAATCACCATGTGTTGAAGTCACTACTGTTCATGAGGTGGCTGAACAGGGATGGGTACTCTCATCTAGACTCCCTTTCCCTTGATGTGTTGGACCAGTTGATCATTCAACTGATGAATGATTTTATGATTTAACTATTTTATGATTCTATGATCTAGTACAAAAGTAATTGTTCTTCATACCTACTGCATGTAATTCTGGAAGGTAAAATTTTTATTACACTTATTATTAGCATGGTAAAACATAGATCTACTTTTATCAATCTCTCAGATGCTAAAATGATTGTCTACATGTATTCAAAATTGGAAGAAAATATTGTATGACAGTTACCTTAATGAATTTAGATCTGGCCTTCTATGCTTTTGGGTTTGATTCTATTGTGTAGTCATTTTTCAAGGACAGAGAAGCCCTAAAACCACTGGAAGTTTGTCTAAATAATGGGCAGTCCTACTGCAGTTCAGTCTGCCATGTATCCTACTTTCTTCTCTGTTTCAATCTATGTCTAAAAAAATGGTCTTGCTGTGACCAGTGTCATTTGGTCAAGTTATTGGCAATGTAAATCAAATAAATAGTTTATTTTAATTCCAGACTCTCTGTTGCTAAACAGAATACTCTAGTTTTCTCAAGACTCCTCAGAAACTCAGTATTAGGGAAATACAAATGTATGTTCACTTTCAGTACAGCTAAAACATTCAAACATACTCATACAGACGTGATGCAACCTGGCTAAGAATGTGAGGTACTGCAAACAAGCAAGCCTATGGTCAATTTTGCACTATGCAGTGAATTTCTCAAAACTTCTCAGCTGTGTAAAAACATTAGTATTTTTTAAAATTAGCTCTATGCTGTGCATTCACTTGTCACACATAATCCAGCAGGAAAAAGAGCTATTTCACTTTGTCCATTGTCTTTTTTTTTTACTTTCCATTTATCATAGAATCTCTTTACAGTGAAGGAGCACAGAGTAACACCTTAAATTTGCCTGTGATGATATTAAAAATATATAGCTCATATAGAAATTTTCTATATCATTAAGACACAATTTTGGTCTTCTTATGTTCATAAGTCCTTACCAAGCTGTGAAGACTCTGCTATAGTCCAAAGAATTCCTTATCTGTCATAATTTCAGAAGTAGTGTCACTTGGTCATCGATAATTCTGTTTTGAAGGCTTTTTAATGGGAGAAAGGTTGAAAAATGAAGTCTGATTTTTCTTTCATACAGATTAAGAAGAGTTGGAATTCTCCATGTTTTCATATAGGTCCATATATCTGTATTTTTATTTGTCTAGATCTAGATAGATATATGCAGAGAGAGAGAAAAAAAAAACAGCTGTGAAGTTTCTGCTCCTGAATTTTTCAACTAGGGAAAATAGCCTTGAATCTCAATGTCATTGACACCACTTTACCTTCATCTTTGTCCAGTCTTAAGAGAAAGAATATTAATTATTACTCCTATACAGTCTGAAAAAAGCATTTGTTGAAATGGAATGAGTAAAGGAAGAGTCCAGTTTTTCCTAAGGATAAAATAGAAAATGCATTTGTACGTGTTATCATTTACCTATCCTTCAATCAAATACTTTTCCCATGATTACTTACATGAATTGCTCCTGCCACTACTGAAATATGAAATATAAAATCCACATACAGTATGGATTTCCAAAGACACTTGATAAAGATGAATGTATGGTGATGGAATAGTGCTGTTTGCCCTATCACATTACAAACATAAGTCATTTTCACTTTCAGATGACAAACACTACCCTGATGCCATCTGAGAAATATATTTTCTCCACAGCAGCATCTGGTTCATTGGCAGACTCTTCAGGCAGTTGCGTTGACATCATCTGCACTGTGCGTACATCTCTCATATCATTATGTTTATAATTTGTCTGGGTTACTGTGCCCTTCTGTTAAAACCTTCATTTGTTCAATACATTAATTTATTAATTAGCTAATTGTTTTACACAGGATGACATCTTTATAATCACTCATGGTGAAAATCAGTGATTACACATTTCTGCAGGGTGTCCAGTTTAATTCTTTTGTGAATTGGCATAAGAATGGAAGTACTAATAAATTCTTTAAGAGGGGTGAATATTAAGAGGTTAAAACAACACTTTTTCTGATATGTGTACACTTTTTAAAATAATAGTCTTAGTAATTCCATTACTAACAAACACCAGTGCTTTTTCATCTTTTAAAGATAACTCAAATGTAAGTACATATCATAGGGAAACTATCTCCTCAAATGGATTGTACTTTAAGGATAAGATTACAACAAAATATAATTATCACTATGGGTGTTACAGCACTGAATGACTGTAGTACTGACACCAACCAAGAAATGAAAACAAATAAAACAAAGCAAAAAGAAGAAGAAAGCAGAAATAATTAAGACTATCATAAAGAAAACATGTAGATTTAAATCAAATACTCACCACACTTTGTGTCCTGCCTCTAGAAAGAGCAAAAAAGTGGAGTATAAGAATGATGTAAGCACTCTATGGTTCTCCCCTGGGCACAAACTAAGTTGCTCAGGAATTTCTGAAAATTAATTATATTTCTAAGCTGTCAACAATTCTCAACAAATTTTTCCTTCACAGGTAATTTGAACTCCCTCTTGTACTTGAACATCAATGATTTGCAAATACAATTTGATTCATAACATTTATAGCAGCTACAGCAAAGACTGTGTAACACAATTTCTGATGTGATTCTATAACTAAGGTACACACAAAGATAAAAAACAAGGCAATAAAATACTAGCTTCGCAAATGTGTGGGCATTTGGGAAATTTGAGATGAAATGAAAATAATATGTACTTTAACTGTGGTAATCTGTTGATACAATAATCCACTATAAAGATCATCATAATGTAAATACAAAACCCACTGATACTACAAATATTTGCACACTTGAAATTTTTTCCTATCTGTATAAGAATGAGTTAAAGTTTAGTAAAATCATACTTTCGAATTCATGATTAACCACAGAAATCTAGAATCATAGACTATTCTAGAGCTGGAAGACACCACAAGAATCACCAAAATCCATCTTCTGACCTGGCACAGCACCATCCCCAAAAGTCATACTAACTACTCCAAAGTATTGTCCAAACCTTTCCTGAGCTCTGTCAGGCTGGTACTGTTAATCACTTCCCTGGGATCCTGTTCCAGTGCCCAACCACCTTCTGGGGGAAGAACATTTTTCTAAAAGCCACCCTAAACCTCCCCTGATGCAGCTTCAGGGCATTCCCTTGTGTCCTACCACAGGTCACCAAACAGAAAAGGTCAGTGCCTGCCCCTTCACTTCCCCTTACAAGGAATCTGCAGAACCCAGTGAGGTCTTCCCTCCATCTCCTCTTCTTCCAGCTGAAAAAAACAAGTGATTCTTTGAAAATCTGAAAAAATGCAGTCATTTGTTATGCAGCTTCCCCTCAAGGCCCTTCACCATCTTCACAGGCCCCCATTTTGGGATGCTCTCTAATAGTGAATATCCATCTTATACTGTGGTGCCTAAAACTGCCCTCAGGACTCAAGGTGAGGCTACACCAAGGCAGAGTTGAGGGGGAAATATGAAATATTGAAATATTTCAGTTTAAGAAATAATTAAAAGTAGCCCAAACTGGAAGCTACCTATATTCCTTAGGTTGTTTATTTGGGGTTTTGTTTTGTTTTTGGTTTTTTTTTTGGTATAACACCTTAGTGTGTTTGATGCAACAGTTTTACTTTTTTTTTTTTGCAGATTATCTGTCACTGATTACCTATTAGAGATAATTTATCAAACTCTTCTTTTATTTGCTTTCTGTTCTCTGTCCTGTGGCTAATATGGAGAACATTACACTCTGATATTTGGACAGTAGTAGCACTGCTGAATTGATGTATTTTAGAAGCAATTACAGGAATGTTAGTAATAGCAGCTTGTTCAGAAAATGGTACAATGGTAATATAGACCCACAGATAGTCTGCAGCTGAATTTTATGAAGAAGACAGCAATTTCATTAAAGGACACTAATAATACCTAATGTTAAAAGAAAATAAATGAAAATTTCCATTTAAAGGGAAACTTTTTTATCCTTGCTTTACTTGTTTTCTTCTGAATTACTTTATACCACCTGCAAAGAATCAAACACAAAATTCTTCACCTGTTCAAACTTTATTTTTATAATATGTTCTTTATTCCAACTACTATCATTTCTATTATCTGTCCTTACACTGGAATCATAGAATAGTTTGGGTTGGAAGGAACATTAAAGATCATACAGTGACAAGGCCTGCACCATGGGCAGGGATACCACTACTAGATGAGTTTACTCAGGGTGCCATCCAACCTGGACTTTAACAATTCCTGTGATGGAGCAGCCACAAGTTCTCTGGGCAGTTTGTGTCAGTGTCAACAACAGCAACAACAACAGCAGCAGCAGCAATAACATTAAATAATTGTTCAAAATTGTTTTGATACAACAACATCTGAAACCAAATGAAGTAGGATGCAAGTTGGTCTCTCAAGTCTAGTGTTCTTTCAGATGGGAAAAATGCAAAAGTTTAATGATCTACCCACTGTGAACCCTGTCTTTCAAAGTGATGTCCTGTCATTTGTTTGTGCTAATGTTATGGAACAATAATAGAATTTAAACTCTCCTTACTAGCAATTGTAGGAACTCATTTGGACTCCATAATCAATTGTTGGACTCCAAAATCATAAAGGTCTTTTCCAATATGTAATTCTGTGATTCTTAATTAAGAAATGACAACAACAGAGAGATTAAGCAAAAATATGAAGGGAAAGGATATTGAAATAAACTTATTGGGCTTTTTTTTTTGCACAAACCTTTTAAGTATACTCTGAGAAAGCAAGCAACTTTTTTATTATAAATGGTTGAGGAGCTGTTGATATTGGAGTAAATATACAATTAAATATAGCAAGTTGTCTTTTCCCTTGTAGAAAGGTCATACAGAGGAAAAAATATTTAAGAACATGATAATATAGCTTTGATGCCTTGCTCTTGATGTTATAAAGATCTTACATGCAAGAATATTCTATCCTTCTATATCTTTTATTCAAGAATTTATATTCAATTGCATATTTATCCATCTTTGAAAGATCATTAGAATCATAAGATTTTTTTATAAACATTTTTTGGAAGTGTGGGAACTCAAAATGTCTCTCAGACATTTTTAGAGGTTCCAGGCCTTGGTCAGAAGCATTCTAGACCCTGGCAGACAGCTGAAAAACAACTGTGATTTTGAGTTTGAGTCATGGAATGAATTACCAACTTTGGAGGTGGAACGAGCAGTCACAAAAGGTTAGATAGTATAGTATAAGTAGTTACGAAGTAGAGGGGAAATTTTTTTAGTATTGTACAGGGGGGTTTTAGCACATGTACAGGGGGGTTTTCACTTTGTACATGGGGGTCAGAAGTTCTAAGATGGAGGAAAGTGGGCTGAACCCATCCTTCTTCCTTCTTCTCCTTACCTCCATGTTCTTGGTGATGTTGGCACTCACAGATTGGTTTAGAGTAGAAAAACACTTGGCAACGTAGGTAGTAGGTATTGGGGAATAATTGTAAACATGTTATATGTAATATATCTTATAAAAGATAGCAGCAACCCTGGGCGGAGAGAGAGACAAAGAAGACAGCAGATAGAGAGGATGTCAGGGTGTGTGTGTGCCTCTACCCAGGCCACTGATCAAATAGCTGCAGTCCAAGAACATAATCTGTTAGATAACTAGCAATAAACTGCCTTGAGACCGAACAGCTAAGCCTGCGGAGTTTTTCTTTGGAAGCACGGGTTGGAGGAGGAATTTCACCACCACATGTGGCCCCAAAACAAGGCTGGGGTTCTCACAGGAAGAAAGTATTAAAAAACTGTCAATTTATTTCCTCCTGAGACATCATATTAATAGAGCATCAAATATACCTCAAATAGCACTGAATTGAATTTATTACTGCCAGCTATGGACATTTCATTACCTAGATCAATATATTTTTTCTAAGGAAAGAAATAATGGAGAGACACAAAATTGCATGCCATTAATTTCACTCTACTACTACTAAAAAAATTGCTTGTGGGACATTGTTATCCTAAGGTGTATGGCACCATAATTCTAGCAGAAAAATTAACCTACAGCAGTAACCGAAAAATTTCCATTTACACCTAGACAATTATTGTAAAGCTGTGAAAGAGGTTGATTCTCACCAAAATTTGAATATATTTCTAGCCTAACACTTATATTTCTTGTTTATTAAAAAAAAAAAAAGAGAAAATATGATTCTTACTATCACAAAAACAATACTGAAGAAGATTGTAGGTAGAAATTATTACCCCCTGATTTTTAATTTGGATTGACAAAATGAAGGCTTACATATACTTTATTATCATATGAGCAAAATCTATTGAATTACTATGGTTTAATGAATTATCATGCATCAGCTAAGCCCTAATAGCTGCTTGCCTCAATTACACCACTTCAGTTCTGAAGTAATTTTCTTTATCTAAAAGCATCATTATGTTGAGTCAGTGAGCAACAGTACTAGACAGTGCAAGGAAATCACATTTTGCCATATGACCAAACAGTTAATAAGTTGTAAATGGCACAAGAAATCTTTCTTGAGTATTAATAGTTATAAGACAGATATAAGAACTTCTGTGTAACTGAATATTTCGTGAAAAATATTCATAGTTTATTATATTTACAAAATATCAGGACAGAAATTTGCTGAGAGAAAAATTTTGAGTGTATCCAGTCATCTGCTCACTCCACATGTGAGTGAACATGCTTTTAAAATTGACTGATCTGGTAAAGTGAAAAGTGATCACTGAAATGATCATTAAATCAAGATGTACATTATATAT